GGGGTCCTCCGTGAGTCGAGTGTGTGTCGGAGGAAGCTGAGCGGGGGGGCGGGGGGGGGCTAGAGCGGGGGAAGGGGGGGGGGGACGGCTGGTGACTGGTGAATGGTGGCTGGCTGGTGACTGGTGGTGGCTGGTTGGCATGTCACTCAGTTCACTTTACGGCGCGTGGATGGGGAGGAGGGGCTAGCGGCGACGGCGCGATCGGGTCCGTCGAGAGTGCGAGTGGCGGGTTGCGCGACGGCGTCCGATGCGGTTGGCATGAAAGTGCGGATTGCGGGTCGCGGTGTGGCAGACGCTGATGTGACGGGCGGCGGTCATCCTCGGCCTTGCGGCGGGCAACGACTGCCGACGAGCGCGAGGCGCGGGCTAAGGATGCCCGCTGTTGATGTTGTACGGCTGGATGAATCGCGGCGCAGCCCGTGCCCGATGGCGGCAAACTCGGCACGGTCCTCCTCGCCCGCGAGGATGTACAATACCACGCGCCCGCCTGCAAACTCGCACTCGGGATACGCGGCGTGGATGGCATCGTAGACTGCCATCTCACGGCGCGCCCACATCCGCTTCCTCTGCTCGCGCGCTGCATACCCCCTGCCGACAGACCTGCCTTTGCTGTACCTGCAGATGGAAGCAGTGGCGGCAGCGCCCAATCCCAGCCCAATGCTGCTCGCACGAGGTACCGTGAATGGAGTCAGGTGCAGTCAACGAGTTGGAAAAACCACACAGTTTGGCGCGGCCGCCCGCGCGCCAAGAGCAAAGTCCCATAAATACCCAGTGCCGGGTTCATCGAGGTGTTTGCGCTGCCTACAACTCTGGACACTGTTGCCTGGGTGTCAGGGGGGGGGGGAGGGGGCGTGCAAGGGCATACATCCCATCGCCCATGCAGGAGATGCGAAGCAGACGTGCAAAGAAACACATAGTCGTGATCTTTGATTGAACACTCTCCTCCCGTCGGAAACGCGTACAGAAACCGATAGTCATCGCCGCAGCTTGTCTTTGTCATCCCACCACCAACCTATGTTGATCTCCTCGAGAAAGAGTACTGACCAGCTGAGCTCGCCTGTACCACCAAGCTATTTAAGGTGTTGCCGCAGTGAACGGAATCGAGACGGCAGCAGGTGGCTAGGCCTTGCTTAGCCTTTTCGTTAAGCATGTTGACCCAAAATTGCAGTCCACGCCCGGTCACGTGACCGGGACGGTGCCCGGCGGCGAGGTAGGGGCGCGTCACCACGGCGGCAACCGGCGACAGCTTGCAGAAGACTGCACTCTCCCTACTCCTCGCCTCCCGGTCACCGACACTACCTCCCCTCTTCCCCCTCTCCCTTCCCCGCTAGGTACAGAAGAACCCTGTCGCCATGGTGGACGCGGACACGGCGACTAAGCTCATCCAGAACTGCACGCCCAACCTCGCCGACTCGGCGTTCATGGCTTGGGCAGCGGCGCAGGTGTTTGTCATGATTCCTGCGCTGGCCATGTTTGAGGGTGGACTGGTGCGATCGAAGAACGTGCTCTCGCTCTTTGCGCAGATTTTTGTCGGCCTTGCAGTGCTCTCGGTCATGTTCTTCCTCGTGGGATTCTCGCTCATCTTTGGCGACGACAAGGGCGGCTTCATCGGCGGGCTCGACTATGTGGCGCTCAAGGGCTTTGATCCCTCGACCTGCTTTGGCCGCGTCGCCACCCTGCCGTCGACGCTCTACGCGCTGTACGAGTGCATGTTTGCGGTCATCACGCCGCTGCTCATCACTGGCGCCTTTGCCGAGCGACTGACCTTTCGCGCGTACGTGGTCTTCATCGTGGTGTGGGAGCTGACCGTGTACTATCCGGTGGCGCACTGGATCTGGGGCGGCGGGTGGCTGATGCAGCGTGGCGCGCTGGACTTTGCGGGCGGCATTGTGGTCCACACCACGGCTGGCGCCGCCGCGCTTGTCACTGCGGTCATGCTCGGCGCGCGCGCCGGGCACGGCGTCTCGCACGCTCTCAAGCCGCATTCGGTCCCGCTGACCATGATTGGTGGTGGCCTGCTGTGGTTTGGCTGGTTTGGCTTCAACGGCGGCTCGGCATACCGGTCCGGCGGCGACGCAGCGTCTGCCACGCTCAACACCCACATTGCGGCGTCGGCATGCGGCGTGGTGTGGCTGCTCATCTCGTGGAAGCGCGAGGGTCGCCCGCACACCGTCGACGTTATGAACGGCATCATCGCCGGCCTTGCCGGCATCACACCTGTGGCCGGCTACTGCTCACCAGTGGCAGCGCTCGTCATTGGCATCGTCCTCGGCCTCCTCGCCGACGGCGCAGTCATCCTGCTCACCGACGTCCTGCACATCGACGATGCGCTGGAGGTCTCGGCCGTCCACGGCGCGACCGGGCTCATCGGCTCGCTGGCGACAGGCTTTGTGGCGTCGTCCACCTACTCGGATGCCGTGACCAATGAGGGCCTCTTTATCCATGGCGGAAGCGGCAAGCTGCTCGGTGAGCAGGTGCTCGCCGTTGTGGTCACGCTCGCATGGTCGGGCGTCTGGTCGTGGATCATCTTCGCCTTTATCGAAAGGGTGCTCGGTTGGGACCTGCGGGTCTCTGCTGCCGAGGAGGACGAAGGCCTCGACGTCGGCCAGCACGAGGGCCACGCATACCTCTTCTCACGACTCGCCATCTACGAGGAGGTCTTCCCAGAGGAGGAGACGCCGCCGCCGTCGATTTTCACCACCGCGCGCTCGCGCTCGCAAATGCGCCGCGACCACTACCACGGGCCGACCTCGATCTACACCTCGGTCGACACGCCGCTGTTCTCGTCGGTCAACGGCTCGCTTCGCGACGCGTCGCGGACGCGCTCCATGCACGTGTAAAAGCAAACTCATTGCTTGCTCTTCTTTGCCGGCGAGTCGTCGAGGTCGAGGTCGAGGTCGAGGTCCATGTCGAGGTCCGGCTTGCGGCGGCGGCGACGGCGGCGCCCGGCCGGGCCGCTGGCGCCCGAGCTCGACACGGCGCCCGGCGTGCCCGACGACTCGTTGCCAGATTCGGCAGCGACAGCTGCGACGCCACTCGGCTTGGCCTTTGTGAGCGAGACCCGCATCGGAACCGGCTCGTTATCGACATCGCTCGCAGCTGCGGCGACGGGCGTGGCCAGCTGACGGGCATCGACCATGCCGACCTGGCGAGCGAACGCCGGCGGGAGCGGCTTGGCAAACGCGCTCACCCGCATGTGCTCCGGCTGCGGGTTCGGCGGGCGGTGGACGCCAAATGGACTGGCGCCCTGGGTGTAGCTCATCCGCTGGACCATGCCAAGAACGAGGTCCATGTCAAGCCCGGAACCATCACAGAGCGTATCCACCAGCGTGTCTGCGCTCCCGCCCTTGCCCACCTGCCTCACCAGCGGGCGCGCCGCCCGGTCAGGTGCGGCATCAGGCCGGGTGATGTGCGGGTGTGTGGCGTGGACCGTCTCCGTCACCGCTGGCAGTGCCGTCAGCACCTCTGCCGACGTCGCCGCCACCATCGCCCGCGCCTTGGACGACGTCTCCCGCAGCGCCCGCTTGAGCAAATAAGCTCTCCGGACCCGTTCAACTACTCCGTGCCGCCGACCCCCCCCCGCCCCAGTCCCAATCCCCCCGTCGCATATGACCATGTCCCAGCACCGGTATCAGCCCCCTGTAAGTCCTCCTCCTCCCCCTCCCTCCCCCCCTCCCTCCTCCTTTCCCTCCCCAACCTACCTCTCGCCACCTCGGTCTGCAGCGCAGCATCTGTTCGTAGGATGTCGGTGACGAGGGCCAGCATGGCCTCGTCCGTTGGTGTTGGCCCAATGCCCTCAGCGGCGGCACGGAGAGCGGCAAAGTAGCCATTGAGGGCAGCGGCGAGGGCAGCTAGCGCTGCACGGGCTGCGCGGGTGCTGCTCCCACCGCCACCCATATCGCCTCCTGCCCGACTGCCCTCGCTTGCGCCCACCACTGCCACCCCCACGCCACTTGCCTCTGTCTGCGACATGCCCTCCCGTCACAAGTCGAGTGTCCGTCACCGCGCCGCCGCCGCCACCGCCACCGCCACCGCCACCGCGCTACGCTCTCTCTCCGTCGCATGCCATGCGCGATACACATCGCATCACATCCTGCCATTTACTACCCCTCGGCAGTAAAGTAGTGGGCCGTGCCCGAGTCCGAGTCGGACGCTGACCAGTCTGACGACGTCTTGCCATGCCGGCTGGCGCTATGCCGGCTGGTCGCCCGCCGACGCCGGCTGGTCCGACGTCCGCTGGTCCGACGCCGACTGGTGCGATGCGAGCTAGCTGCCTCGCCCTCACGCCGCCGCCGCTTTTCTTGCGGCTGGCTCGCGGCGATCCTGGGAGCGAGGCGGTAACGGGAGCAGCGAGGTCTGCGGACCGAGTGCGCGAGGCCGACGTCGCCGATACCGGACGGTCACTGCAGCGACGGCGGTGCGGGCGACTGGCGGACTTCACCTCGGGCTCGTACTTCATCTCAGGTTCGGACTCAGATACGAGCCTAGCCAGAGCGGCGTCGTCGCTCGCACGGGTGTCGCCCGCCTCGTTGTACGGCTCGTTGGCGCGCCAGGCCTCGATGGCGGTAAACGAAGCCTCGATGCCGGCGGAGAAAGGGACAAAATCACGGTGGAGATCGGCGGTGCCGCCGAGCTCGTGCGGGAGCTGCGAGGCGAGGATGTGCTCTTGTAGCTCGGCCTGGTAGTTGTCGGTGAGAAAATGGACCTTGGCGCGGGTGGAGGCGTCAAGGAATGGCTTGGCGAGAGCCCAGAGGACCTTGAAGACCCGGCCGGCGTTGATGATGTATGCCGCGCCGAGGCGCTCGGGGTAGATGGCCTGCAGCGAGAGAAAGCCCTTTGCGCCTGCACGATCGAGGTTGGACCATCCAAAGTCAGCATAGTCTGCAATCATAGTGACCTGCTGGACCGGGGCACCCGGATAGAGCTCGTGCCGCTCGGCGTACTCCATCATGAACATGTTGGTCGCCATGTACTGATCGAGCGGCGAGATGGAGCTTTTGTGACGCTTGTTGACAAACCAGGAGACAACCCGCCCGGCCTTATCGCGCCCGAGGGGATGGACCTTGTCTGTGGCGAGCTCGGCCCGGATCCGCGGGTCATCGAGGCTGAGGAGGAACGGCTTGTGCTCGAGACGCCAGGCGATCATGTCACGGACGTGCTTGATCGTCGCCTCACGCTCAAAGGCCACAGCCTTGCCGAACCGGAACGTGTCGTACAGTGTGTGGACAAAGGCGTCGACGCCTGCATCCGCCCGCTCCGCGTTGAGCTTGCCCAGCTCGGCCGCCACAGCAGCCACCACCGCCGCGTGCGTCGCCTCGAGTGTCCCGGACGCCAGCGCCTCCACATACGCTGGATCCGCCTCTGCCATTCGCATTCCTGTCCCGTGCGCCACCGTGTCGGCAGCAAGGGGGTGGTGACAGGTGCTTCTGGCCGAGTCTTGCTGGGGAGGGGGGGGGGGGGGGGGGAGTGGGTGGCTGACGCGAGTCACACACTGCACATGCAGAGCGGGACGATGTGCATTTATATGGGGAAAAAGCTGACGAGAGCTCAGATGGCAGCGAGAGCTGCACCGCCAGCATCACCGGCGGCGCCAGCGGTATCGGAGGCACGGCGCTTGACCCACCAGACAGCGCCGACGACGCCTGCGACAACGAGCGCGATAAAGATGACGACACCTGCGACAATGCCCGCAATAAGACCACCCGAGGCGCCTGATGACGACGACGGCGAGCCGCCACTGATCTGCCCGGCCGAGGCCGAGGCCGAGCCTGAGCCTGAGCCTGAGCCTGAGCCTGAGCCCGAACCCGAGTCTGAGCCTGAGCCTGTGCCCGAGCCCGTACCCGAGCCTGAGCCCGAGCCCGAGCCCGAGCCCGAAGAGACCGGCGGCGACGGCGGCGGTGGGGTGCTGGCTGGGTTGATCGTGAGCTGGCCGGCGTTGATGACAAAGTCCTCACCGATCTCGACGAGCATGTGGTAGACGGCGGGCGCGAGCGATGATGTCGACATCGTAAGAAAGCTCACGTCGCGAATGCCGTTCGATGGGATGTCGGTGAGCTGACCGGAGAGGAGGAGAACATCCGTTCCGCGGCTAAGGACGTCGTCGGTCGAGGCGTAGAGCGTAGCGGTGATATCCCCGGTTCCAGCATCGCCAACGTTGGCGACGCGGACGGCGACCTGAGCGATGGTGCCGCCGACGTTAAGAGCCGAAGGCGTGACAACACGGACAAATGAGCCTGCCCAGGTCCGCATGTGCTCGACGAGCTGGACGGTGGGGGTAAACGACCTGCCCGCCCCGACCCAGCCGTTAATGTCGTTGATGGTTGACGCGATGAGCTTGCTCACATAGCCAGCCGAAAACTGCGGCGAGGCAAACGGGTTGGTGGCAGAGAACAGGCCAGTCACGTTGCCGTCCTCGGCAAAGAACGGTCCACCATTGGTGCCGAGCGGCATCCAGACGTCAGCGTACATGGTGGCATCGGGCGACGGCGGCGACGGCGCGAGTGGCGTCGGCGGCGTCGGCCCGGCGTTGACCGTCTGGACGCCGAGCGACTCACCGTCAGCCATGCCGGCAACATCCGGATCAATGCCGTAGCCGTAGGCGGTGAAAGGACCGTAGAGGGGGGCGGTGGGGACAGAGCGCTGCGGAGGCCAGCCAGTCCGATCGCCGGTAAAGCCGTCGACAAAGATGATGCCGTAGTTGTACTGGAGGGCGTCAATGGTGCCGAGGTCGGTGGCGGGCGTCGACTGCCACTCGGAAGGAAAGCTGTCGAACGGTGCGATGCCATTAAAGGTGCCGAACGGGTTGTCGATCTGCGCCCCGCCGCGGATGCACCCCTTGCAGGCTGCCGGCGTGACCCGGATCTCGGCGGCAGCTGCAGCCGGAGGGCTCGGACCGGCCGACGGCGGCAGCGGGCGGCGATACAGCGCCGCCGCCGACGTCAGCACCGCGTTCCGCCCGGCCATGACGCCCGTAAAGGTTCCTGAGAACGTGCCAGCCGGGTCGTCGGTGTAGCGGACCTTGACACGGACAATCGAGTAAGCAGTCGGATCAGAAACAGCGGTGATGACCACCGGCGGCGGCGGACCAGGCGGCGCAGACTGGAGCAGCTTGCGGGCCATGCCGGCCCCACCTTCCGCACTCACCACCGGAGCATGGCCGTCGTGGGCTGAATGGTTGTCACCCAAAAAACGCTCTCCAGCCGAAAGCTTAGCCACCTGCGGTGCCTGGCCAGGGAGTACGTCAGCAGCCGCGCCTGCGGCGAGCGCAACAAGAAGCAGAGCACCAAGTGCAGCAAGAACGCGAGTCTGCATACCTTCTTGGCTTGTTGGGTCAAAGTCGAATGTCCCCGCCACGGCTACCCCCTTCCTCTCTTCCTCTCCTCCCTCCTGCCCAATGCCACTTTTCGCGTGTTGGCAGTAGCAGCAGCTGCAACGCTCGGCAAACACTCCTTTTTGAGCAGTCACGAGTGTGGCGCACGCTTATTTTTTTAATTGGCCAGGGAGCACGTCAGCAGCCGCCGACGCGGCTGCGGTGTCGGAGAGTGAGGGTGGGGGGGTGTAGATGGCTGGAGTGGGATGAGTGTGGTGGCTATGGCTGCTGCAGCTAGCGCTGCTGCTGTGGCCGAGGCCGAGGCGATCAGCGAGTGATCGAGTGACGGCTAGCCGCTCGTCGCTCAGCCACTCGCTGGCGTGAGGCCGTGCTGATGCTGCTGCGGGAGAAGGTGAAGTCCAAGCCCGAGGCGGCGATGACCAGGTTGGTGATAATGCTGATGCTGATGAGAATAGTGATGGGGGCGAGGGATGGCGATGGCTGGCGATGGGAGTGATGGTTGAGGCGGCGGCGGTGATGGTAGCGATGGTGGACGACGACCATAGGCGGTTGCCGTTGCGGTGGCCTAGGCTGCGACTCCCGAGAAGAGAGAGAGAGAGAGAGAGAGGAAGAGGGTTGTGATGAAGGGGGAGGAATGAATGAACCATGCATCGCAAACAAGCCAGCTGCTGTGGATGACCATCGGCGCCGGGTCGCTGCCGGGCGGGCTCTTGTGAGCGACAGCCCAAACGAGCGAGCGCACAACCCAAGTTCGAGGCCGAGGTCGAGGATGAGGGCGCAAGATCGGGATCAGAAGGACGAATAGAAGCACGACAGCGAGCACGATGACACAGATACTGTTGGCCTGATGCACATGAATGTCATCGTTGTCGTCGTCACCATCACCATCACCTCCACCGCCAGTCGCCAGCCCAGCCCACCCACCCCTCCTCACCGACATCGACACCAACTGACGATGGCGTACCCACGGCCACTTTCTAGCCTGGTCCTACTCACCCCCTCTCTCGCCCTCCTCCACCTCGCCCCACAGTCCACAACTGCCCCTTCCTGCAATCCGAAGCCCTCGTCTCCATCGACGCCCCTCCTGCCAACTGCGCCGCTGATCACGACTAGGCCCAAGTCCGACTCCCCCCAAGCAAGCCAGTGTCAACACATATCTCGCCGCTCACCACGCGCGTTTGCTACCTCAGGCGGCACGAAAGGCGCGGACAAAGGCCATCTTGAAGGCCTTGATGTGACGGGCGTGCTCGTCGCTGCCGGGTCGGAGGAGCTCGTCCAGGGCGGCGCAGCCGGCGGCAAGGAGCTCGGCACGGAGCTCGAGGAGGCGTGGGATGGAGACGAGCTTGTCGGTGTAGTCTGTGGTGAGGACCTCAAGATCTGCTGACGGCTCGAGGATGCGGAGGGCGATGAAGCTTTCGAGAGCGAGGGAGGCGGCCGAGGCGCGCGGGCGGCGTCGGCGGGCAGCGGGTGGGACCTTTGCAGCCTTTGCGGCTTGGGCCTTTGCCTTGGCCTGCGACGAGCCCGGAGGCTGGGCGCCAGCGGTGTCGGCAAGGAACAGCTCCAGCTCGTCGACTGATGGCTCGCGCAGCAGGTGCGGGTGCGGATTGCGGTAGCCATGGAGATCTGCACCGCGGCTGTAGCGCAGATCGACCGGATGCGACGCGTTGGGCTCATGCGGGCCGGGCATCGGCAGGTAGTGTGAAACCTCGGGCGGGCCAAGGAAGACCGGGTGGGCCACCGGGTGGTTGCGGTTCTTGTGGGCGTCGAGCCGCGCAGCGTGCGCCCGCATCCGCCGCACCATATGGAAGATGTTGGCATTGTGCTCACGCGCAATGTCCGATGGCCGTCGCGCATCCTTTCCACACGCTCGATCCAGCACAGTTGTGCCCAGCGGACGGCCCGGGCTCGTGCCCGAGCCGCGGATTCGGCGGCGGCGAACCCGTTGCCGGCTGCGGCTCCGTGTGGCTCTGAACTCGCTCTTCCTCGCCGACTCGGCCAATAGCGCCTGCAGATGCGCGTCCCGCCGGGCAGACACCATGGCTGCCCCGCCAAGCCCGCGCGTGTCGGGCGTAAACGTGCCCCGGTACCGCGGCGAGCGGTGCGCCATAAGCGCAAGAGTCGTGTGGGGTCTTGGGCCGTCGAATCGTTGACCGACTGGTGGCGGCTGGCATGGCAACCTAACCGTCAGCCTCCTTTCGTCAACCGACCACTGTCGTTTTTCCATTTCTTCTTGTTCATTCATTCCAACGGTTGGAAGGCCAAACAAAGGCAGCCGCCGTGTGCAGCAGCGACAGCGACGGCGACCAGCACCACCTATCTCAAGTCACTCAAGGTACGCCACCCACTCCCACCTCGACCCTCACGCAAACCTTTCTACACACCTCCTACTCCCCTTTCCCTCCATCCTCCCCACGCCCTTCACCCCTCTCGCTACCCTCGCATCCCTTCCTCCTTTCCACTCTCCCCAGCCCTCGGCCCACCTCCCTCCCTCCCACCTTGCCCAGTTTTCTTCTTCCCC